CCCCATTTGGCTTTGCTTGTCAGAAGCAAATGGAAACCACATCATCCCTCAGATGCTATAACCGACACCAATCCATGCCAGCACCCCAAATTTTGATCGCAAGATCGGGGGGATGCTATGACGGGCCTGGTTGTTAGGAAACGAATATTACCTAACTTGTTGGGTTGGCAATATATAAACCATCAATGTAGCTTTAAGACTGCTGTATTGCATCATACTGTGTCCTGATTGGTTAGCTCTGTAGCCAATCTCCTTAAGAGGAAGCTAGAAACATGGTTTGTCTTTTCTTTGCTGTTCTTGCTCTCTGATATCTCTGTATGCTACTGTTTGCAAATCCAGAAGAACTGTTTATTGTGAATGACTACGACAACTGGTAAGAAGACTTTGTTATTGGATTATCCCTGGACTGTCGTTTTGGCTATCTCCTGCTACATATAAATGTGTATGACCTGGACTGTTTATTGGACTGTGCCTTACTATTTCCTGAAAGTAAACACAACTCAGTGTATCTGTGTTTCTTCGTAACTACTCTCAATCGTTTTCATGTGCATACCCTTGCTACTCAAGGGTTACTCGGCGAATTCCTTAACACTGGTGGCAAGTCACTTTTTTTCCCCCAGTGCTAAAAGAATGGTTTTAATTCAAGGGTTTCCTTGTACAGGTAGTCCTCAACTTACAACAGCTCGGTTAGTGCCCGTACAAAGTTACAACGGCACTGAAAAATATGACTTATGACCGTTTTTCACCGTTACAACTTTTGCAGCATCCCTGTGGTCACGTGATTAAAATTCAGACACTGGGCAACTGACTCACAGTTATGACGGTTGCAGTGTCCTCCTGGGGGGGGGTCACACAATCCCCCTTTGGCGACCTTTGGATGAGCCAAGTCAAGGGGGAAGAAGCCGGATTCGCTTAACAACCGGGTTGCTCGTTTATCAAGTGCAGGGATTCACTTAACAACGGTGGGGAAAAAGGTGGTAAAACAGGACAAACCCCCCTCTTAACAAATGTCTCCCTTAACAGCGGACATTGTGGGGTCCATTGTAGCCGTAAGTCAAGGATAACCTGTATTTGTTTCTGGGAATCTACCGGGTTAACGCAACTATGCGCAAATGTGGCTTCCTATCATTTATTTATTTAATGCGAGGCTGTCAAACTGCAGGCATATAATTAAAAGAGAGAGAAGGGTTTGCAGGGTTCCAAAAGAGCCATGCCTGTCCGGGGAACATACCACGGGACAATACTGCACAAAGGGGCTCGACACCCACCCCAGCCCCAGGCCTGGGAAGATCGCCAGGTTTTTCCCCTTCAAAGGCTTTTCGAAAGTCGGCAAGGGTGGGGAGCCATGTGGGTCTCGGGGTGGGGTTGGGGTGCTCCAAAGGGCAGGCGCCGCGATAGAGAAGGCGGCGCATTTCCTAAGTCCCCCCACAGTGTTGAATTGAAGAATAAGAGAAGAATAGAGATGGAAGGGACCTTGGAGGTCTTCTAGTCCAACCCCCTGCTTCAGCAGGAGACCTGGCTTATACCGTTCTGGACAAAAGGGCCGTCCAGCCTCTTGTTAAAAATTTGAGGGGCTGCCCCAGAGAGGAGGAAGGAGGTCAAGCTATTCTCCAAAGCCCCTGAAGGGCAGACAAGGAAGAATGGATGGAAACTAATCAAGGAGAGATTCAACTTGGAAATGAGAAGGAATTTTCTGACCGTGAGAACAATCAACCCATGGAACAGAAGTTGCCTTCGGAAGTTGTGGGAGCTTCATCACTGGAAGCTTTCAAGAAGAGACTGGACTGCCCTCTGTCAAAAATGGTGTAAGGGTCTCCTGCTTGGGTGGGGGAGGGGGCTGGACTAGATGACCTCCAAGGTCCCTTCCAACTCTGTTATTCTGTTATTATTCTGTTATTCAGAAGTTGTGGGAGCTTCATCCCTGGAGGCTTCCAAGAAGAGACTGGGCTGCCATCAGTCAGAAAAGGTGTAGGGCAGTTATGGTGAACCTTTTTGCTGTCACGTGGCAAAAGGGGGGGGGGCATGGGGGGCTCACTTGAGTGCATGTCCATACCCATAATTCAATGCACCCCGCCCCCCATGCATGCGTGCACAACACTCCCCTGGTCTCCCCGCTTTTGGCACGACATGGCCCGGTGGGCCCGGTAGGCCCGTTTTTCGGCCTCCTCAGACTCCAGAGCCTTTCTAGGAACCTGGGGAGGGCGAAAACGGCCTTCCCCACCACCCCTGGAGGCCCTCTGGAGGTCAGAAACAGCCTGTTTCCCGACTTCCGGTGGGCCCAGAAGGCCCGAAAATCAGCTGGCGCACACCGGAGCTGAACTAGATAACACTCGTGTGCCCACCGATATGGCTCCGTGTGCCACCTGTGGCACACGTGCCATAGGTTCGCCATCATGGGTGTAGGGTCTACTTGGGCAGGGGGTTGGACTAGATGACCTCCAAGGTCCCTTCTAACTCTGTTATTCTGCCTTCGGAAGTTGTGCTACCTTCATCCCTGGAAGCTTTCAAGAAGAGGCTGGACTGCCATCTGTCAGAAATGGTGTAGGGTCTCCTGCTTGGAAGGGGGGTTGGACTAGATGACCTACAAGGTCCCTTCCAACTCTGTTCATCTGTATCTGTAAAAACCTCCAGTGATGGAACATCCAGAACTTCTGAAGGCAACTTTTGTTCCATGGGGATTTTGCAATATCCTTACCCCTGGAGTGGGGAGGGAATGGGGATTTTGCAGTATCTTTCCCCTGGAGTGGGGTGGGAATGGGGATTTTGCAGTATCCTTCCCCTGGAGTGGGGTGGGAATGGGGATTTTGCAATATCCTTCCCCTGGAGTGGGGTGGGAATGGGGATTTTGCAATATCCTTCCCCTGGAGTGGGGTGGGAATGGGGATTTTGCAGTATCTTTCCTCTGGAGTGGGGTGGGAATGGGGATTTTGCAGTATCCTTCCCTTGCCACGCCCACCAAGCCACACCACACCACACCCACCAAGCCACGCCCACAGAACCGGTAGTTTTTAAAAAATTAGATTTAACCACTGGGGCACACCCTCAAATACTGGAAGGCTGCTATCCTGTCCTTCTTTTCATTAAATTCCACCAACCGTTCTTTCTCTTATCATCTGAGTTGCTCTTCTCTGCACTCTTCCTAGTTTTCCAAAGGTTTTTTTTTTTTTTTCTGGTTTCGGTTTTAGAGACAGCCTCTCGCAATCCAGCAAGGCTGGGAGGGATGTGCCATTTATTGCCATCAAGCCAAGGAAATGACATTTCTGGGCATGCCCCACCGGGCACCGTTTTGGCAGGGCAGCTGCTGCCACCCTGGGCTGCTCCAGTGCTTCTCTTCTGCACTGCTGTGTGACAAGTTGCGCAGGGCGGCAATTGGCAACGGTATTGTGTTCCTGCCGGCCGCACCCCCAGGAAGACTCCCAAACTCTTCCCCCCCCCCCCCACCCCACAACCTCCCCAGCCAGCGGTGCTGACTTGGCTGTTCCTTCCCGGCTCACCACAAAGGCTGCATTTTGCCCGGAGGCTCCTTACCCGAAACCCATGGCAAGTCCCGGCTGGTCCCTCCCCAAACAAAAAAGCAGTTTTAAGAGACAGCCGAGAAACGCCGGATGGAGAAGAGGTGTTTAGGGAGGATCAGGTGGGAGGTTTCTGTGGGAGCTTTTCATGGCAGCCGGGCCAGATCGGCTGCCATCCGGCTGGCAGGAATAGCGTGGCTCTTCCCTTGCGCTTGGAAGAGAAGGGGTACCCACAGGAGACGGTTTAAAAAGGCCCAACTGGGGCGATCAGAACTCTGCCTGGTTTTTACAGGCCAAGGCATAGGGAGTCCTTGACTTACGAACGTTCGTTTAGTGACGAAAAAAGCAACTTACAGCCAGTACTTACAGCCTTATGCTTACAACCCTCGTAGCCTCCCCGCGATCAAAATTCACAACTGGCACGTATTTATGATGTGTTTCATATTGTAAGCCGCTCAGAGTTACCATCCGTAAAATGGGTGGATAAGGGAAGCGGTGGCCCAGTGGCTAAGACGCTGAGCTTGTCGATCGAAAGGTCGGCAGTTCAGCAGTTCGAATCCCCAGTGCCGCCTAACGGGGTGAGCTCCCGTGATTTGTCCCAGCTTCTGCCAACCTAGCAGTTCGAAAGCACATAAAAAATGCAAGTAGAAAAATAGGGGCCACCTTTGGTGGGAAGGGAACAGTGTTCTGTGCGCCTTTGGCGTTGAGTCATGCCGGCCACATGACCACGGAGACGTCTTCGGACAGCGCTAGCTTTGAAACGGAGATGAGCACCGCCCCCTAGAGTCGGGAACGACTAGCACATATGTGCGAGGGGAACTTTTACCTTTACCTATACTATTGTAAGCCACTCAGTGTTACCTGAGGCAGGAAGGAAAAGGGAAGAAGGAAAGAGGGATGGAGGGATATAGAGAGGGAGGGAGGGAGGGAGGAAGGAAGAAGTAAGGAAAAGAGAAGAAGGAAAGAGGGATGGACGGACGGATGTAGGGAGGGAAGGAGGGAAGCAGGCAGGCAGGAAGGAAGGAAAGGAGGGAGGGAGGGAAAGGGAATAAGGAAAGAGGGATGGATGGATGGATGTACAGAGGGAGGAGAGAAGGGAGGGAGGAGGGAAGGCAAGAAGGAAGGAAGGGAAAGGGAATAAGGAAAGAGGAATGGATGGATGTAGGAGGGAGAGAGGGAGGGAGGAAGGAAAGGGGAAGGAGGAAAGGGATGCAGGGAGGGAGGGAGGGAGGGAGGGAGGGAGGAAAGAAAGAAAGAAAGAAAGAAAGAAAGAAAGAAAGAAAGAAAGAAAGAAAGAAAGAAAGAGAAGGGAGGATGGAAAAGAAGGAGGCTGGGGAATTCTGGGAGTTGAAGTCGATAAGCCTTAAAATGCCAAGTTTGGAGACCCCTGTTCCAACCAACAACCTAAGTTCAGATCCTTGCCCCATCCGGGACTAGGCTATCCCAACAAGCCAGGAATCAAGGCTAAAGACTTGGCACCAGACTCACCGAGACCAGTTGTAGATCGGTGGTGGGTTCCCATCTCCGAGGCACTTCAAGGAAGCCCCTTCCTGGCCTTCCGTCCAGTCCTGCTCTGCCTCGTGACCCAGGATGGAGGCATCGGACAGGTCTGCACGGGGGAGGGAGGGAAGGCAAGGTTAGGCAAACCGAAGGGATGGGGAAGAACGTACCCATGTGGCACAGCCCAGGACTGCCTTGTAGCCAGGCCCTTACTCTGACTATAACTAGAGACCACAAGCAGGACTGTCTGTCTGTCTCTATCATCCATCCATCTATCTATCTATCTATCTATCTATCTATCTATCTATCTATCTATCTATCTATCTATCTATCTATCTATCTATCTCTATCATCTATCTATCTATCTATCTATCTATCTATCTATCATCTATCATCTATCATCTATCTATCTCTCTATCTCTCTATCTCTCTATTTCTCTCTCTATTTCTCTCCCTCTATCCTCTCTCTCTTTCTTTCATATATATATAATCTATCTATTCTACCTACTTATCTATCATCTATCTGTAATCTATCTACTTCTCTCTCTTTTTTCCTCTATCTACCTATCTCTCTCCCTCTCTTCCTCTCTCTCTCTATCCATCCATCCATCCATCCATATCTATCTATCTATCTATCTATCTATCTATCTATCTATCTATCTATCTATCTATCTATCTAATCTATCTTTAATCTACCTATCTCTCTATTTCTCTCTCTATTTCTCTCCCTCTATCCTCTCTCTCTTTCTTTCATATATATATAATCTTTTCTACCTATTTATCTATCATCTATCTGTAATCTATCTACTTCTCTCTCTTTTTTCCTCTATCTACCTATCTCTCTCCCTCTGTCTCTCTCTATCCATCAATCCATCCATATCTATCTATCTATCTATCTATCTATCTATCTATCTATCTATCTATTCATCTATCTATCTATCTATCTATCATCTATCTATCTATCTATCTATCTATCTATCTATCTATCTATCATCTATCTATCTATCTATCTATCTATCATCTATCTATCTATCATCTATCTATCTATCATCTATCTATCTATCTATCTATCTATCTATCATCTATCTATCTATCTATCTATCTATCTATTATCTATCATCTCTCTATCTCTCTATCTATCTCTCTATTTCTCTCTCTATTTCTCTCCCTCTTTCCTCTCTCTCTCTTTCATATCTATATTTCTATATATATCTCACATCTATCTACCTACTTATCTATTCTCTCTCTATCTCTGTACTCTATTACTATCTCTCTCTTCTTTCTCTCTCTACAATCCATCTATCTATCTCTCTCTATCCTATCATCTCCATATCATATAATCATATCCATATCTATCTATCTATCTATCAATCTATCTATCTATCTTCAATCTATCAATCTATCTATCTATCTATCTATCTATCTCATTATCTATCTATCTATCTCTCATCTATCTATCTAACTATTTCTACTTATCTAATATCTTATTCTATCTATCTATCAATCTATCTATCTCTTACTATATCATCTATAATCTTCTCTATCTATCGTCTGTCTTCTACTCTCTCTTCCATCTATAGATATAACCGTCTATCTTCTCTCTCTACTTTCTTTTTATCTATTATATCACAATCTCTAGTTCTCTATCTTCTCTCTCTCTAGATATCTATTACGATCCATCTCTCTACTTCAATTACACTCTATCTATCTATCTATCCATCTATCTATATCTAATATCTATCATCTATCTATCTATCTATCTATCTCTATCTATCTATTTCTATCTACCTCTATCTATCTCTCTATTTCTCTTCAATTACTATCATCATCATCCTACTCTCCTTTATTCATCATATCATCTAATCATCTATTCTCTCTCTTTTCTTTCACATATCTAATCTACTATTTATCTATATCTCACTACTCTCTATCTACATCTATCTATCTATTTTTTCTTAACTATCTATCTATCTATCATATCATCTATCCATCAATCTATCTATCTATCTCTGAGTCTGTATCTATCTATCTGTCTGTATTAATCTATGTTTAATCTACCTATCTACTATGACTATTATCTATCTATCTCTCTCTCTGATTATCTATGTCTATCCCTACCTATCTATCTACCTACCTACCTACCTATCTATCCATCTATCCATCTATCTATCATCACAAATTTATATGGCTGCCCAACTCACACACAGCTGAAGTCCGGGTGGCTTACAACTTTAAAAGTCACAACATAAAAATCCATCAACCTCACACCTCAACCCATGGCAGCAGCAACACAATCAAATCAGCCCCCTTCCTGGCTCCATTCGGGGTCCCCAGGAACCACTGACCAAACCCCTTATGTAGGGCCTTTGAGAAAAGCAAGAGGGTGGGAGCTGACCAACCACCCCCAGGGGAACGATGGTCTACAGAGAAGGGGCCACCACCGAGAAGGGCCTTTTTGGTGGTCCCACCAGAAGCACATCCCCGATCGAGGGGACCCGTAACGTGCCCTGACTTCCTGTCCTGAGGGGCGTCTTTCCGGCATTCCCCTATGGCAAGTTTGGACCCCTATCCGTTCGCCCAAGGGTCGGTCCCAAATTCCAGTGGAACATGATGGGAGCCTCTCCGCCTGGCCACGGAAGGTCTACAAGAGACAACGGCGGGAGGACAGGCAGGCTGGAGGCCCAGGTGAAGGTGAGAACAGGTACCTACAGGCCACACTGAGGGTGTGAGTGATCCTCTTCAGGTGCTGCAGTCCCGGGTGCGAAACCACGCAGGTCAAGGGCTTGCCGTTCATGCTGCGCCCAGGGACCACGTAGAATTCGCTGGTGACCGAGGCTGAGCGGGAATGCGAGGATTCCTGGGTGTTGGATACGCCGCGGATTTCGGTCTCCCAGGTGACGGTGGGGACCGGGTTCCCTTCGGCTGTGCAGGAGGCGGCCAACGTGCGGCCCTGCCCTTCCTCCAGCGGAGGCCCCAGGTTCAGAATCGGCAACGGGGGCACTGCAAAGAGATGGAGAAGACCGGACGCGGCTTAGGAGAGACGGAGGACTCACAAAGGACGGGCCCTTGGCGCCCTCTGAACTTATTTATTTATTTAGGGGATTTATATTGCCACCAATTGCTATCCTTCCTTCCTTCCTTCCTTCCTTCCTTCCTTCCTTCCTTCCTTCCTTCCTTCCTTCCTTCCTTCCTTCCTTCCTTCCTCCCTCTCTCCCTTCCCTCCCCAGTTGTCAGAATGTAGTGTTGTAGGCTAACTCTGCCCACTGGCAGCAGTTCAATCCTGACCGGCTCAAGGGTGACTCAGCCTTCCTTCCTTCCATGGTGGGTCAAATGAGGACCCAGATTGTTGGGGGGCAAGAGGCTGACTCCATCAACTGCTTAGAGAGGGCTGTAAAAGCATTATGAAGCGGTATATAAATCTAAGTGCTATTGCCCTTCCTTCCTTCTTTCCTTCCATCCATCCATCCATCCATCCTGTTTCCTTCCTTCCTTTTCATTTCCTTCCTTCCTTCCACCCACCCATCCTTCCTTCCTTCCTGTTACAATGCAGGGTTGCAGGCTAACTCTGCCCACTGCCAGCAGTTCAATTCTGACCGGCTCTAGGTCAACTGAGCCTTCCATCCTTCCGAGATCGATAAAATGAGGACCCAGATCGTTGGGAGCCAGAGGCTGACTCTGTAAAACCGCTTAGAGAGGGCTATAAAAGAAGTGTGAAGTGCTATATAAGTAAGTGCTATTGCTATCATCCTTCCTTCCTTCCTTCCTTCCTTCCTTCCTTCCTTCCTTCCTTCCTTCCATCCTTCCTTTCCTTCACTCCCTCCCTCCCATCCATCCATCACCCATCTATCCATCCTTTCCTCCTCCTTCCTCCCTTCCATTCATCCAGCCATCTTTTCCTTCCTTCCTTTCCTTCCTTCCTTCCTTCCTTCCTTCCTTCCTTCCTTCCTTCCTTCACTCCCTCCCTCCCTCCCTCCCCAGTTGTCAGAATGCAGTATTGCAGGCTAATTCTGCCCACTCCCAGCAGTTCAATCCTGACCGGCTCAAGGTTGACTCAGCCTTCCGTCCTTCCGAGGTGGGTAAAATGAGGACCCAGATTGTTGGGGGGGCAAGAGGCTGACTCTGTAAACCGCTTAGAGAGGGCTGTAAAAGCACCGTGAAGCGCTATATAAGTCTAAATGCCATTGCTATTAACAAACGTCCCACTTAACAGCAGCAATGTGGGGCTCAATTGAGTCGTAAGCCGAGGACTACCTGTGATCAATACGGATTGGTGCCAAGCCAGCTCCAGCTATGAAGCCTGGCTTTTTTGGGAGAACAGAAGGTTTACAAGGTCCCAGACAGATGTGTTTGTGCGCATATCTTGTGTGCTTCTGTGTGTATATCCTTTATTTTTCACGCTCGTGGAGCTAAATCAAAAACCACAGGATACCCCCCATTCCTCGATTCTGAAGTGCAGTTTCTCCTTTCCAGGAGTCGGTCGGGTGAGAAGAGGCCAGCTTTGGACAGCCAAGGCTCTCTCTCAGGGGTGAAATCCAGCAGGTTCTGACAGGTTCTGGAGAACCGGTAGCGGAAATTTTGACTAGTTTGGAGAACCGGCAAATGCCACCTCTGGCTGGCCCCAGAGTGGGGTGGGAATGGAGATTTTGCAGTATCCTTCCTCCGGAGTGGGGTGGGAATGGAGATTTTGCAGTATCCTTCCTCCAGAGTGGGGTGGGAATGGAGATTTTGCAGTATCCTTCCCCCGGAGTGGGGTGGGAATGGAGATTTTGCAGTATCCAGAGTGGAGTGGGAATGGAGATTTTGCAATATCCTTCTCCCAGAAGTGGGGATGGAATGGGGATTTTGCAACATCCTTCCCCTGCCCACCCAACCAAGCCACGCCCACCAAGCCACACCACTCCTACCAAGCCACGCCCACAGAACCGGTAGTAAAAAAAAATTTGGATTTCACCACTGGTCTCTCTCCAGCTCCAATTTCACCCGCCCGATTTCAAAATCCCGTTAAAACTCAGCCTCTATGACCTTATCCACCCTCGAGGCAGGCGCAGCTTCTAATTGCCGTAAAATCCTACACACTTTTTAGAACTATAATTAAATGCAGGTCTGGGAAGGGCCCAGGGGGCTACTCCGAGCTAGGAACTCAGGGTCGGCTGCTCTGGGGCACGAGGGAGAAGAGTGGGGCGTGGCCGAGCTGGTTTCACTGGGTCCGTGTAGGAACCCTCCATGCTGGGCACGAGAAGCCTGGCACGCAGCTCTTCGTTGCCCCTCGATATTGTTTGTTTATTGTTTGTTTTTTTTAAAAAAAAACTTTCATCTTCAGCCCTGGCACCACTTTCCGATTCTTCTTAGATTTTTTTTCCCCAAACACCTGCCGTTTTGGGGGCTGCAATCCCAGGAGTGGGATTCAAAAATTTTAGCAACCGATTCTCTGCCCGGTTGCTGGGTGGGCGTGGCCATGGTGGGCGTGGCCTACTCGGCCTCCTGCACCACGGTGGGGGGGGGGCATGCGTTTTCACCCTCCCCAGGCTCTGGATGCTTTCATCGAACCTCCGTGAGGGCTTCCCCCGGCCCTCCGGAGGCTGGGAACGGGCCCCTTTTCCAGACTTCTGGAATTTCCAGGAGGCCCGCTTTTTGCCCTCCCCAGGCTCTGGAGGCTTTTCTTGAGTTCCCCTGGGCTCCGGAGGCCCTATGGAGGCTGGAAACGGGCCCCTTTTCCAGACTTCTGGAATTTCGAGGAGGCCCGCTTTTCGCTCTCCCCAGGCTCCAGAGCAGTGTTGGGTTCCTCCCGGTTTGGTCCGGTTTGGCCGAGCCGGTAGCGGTGACAATATGACGTCACCGAACCGGTTCTCCCCACCACCACCCTCCCACTGCCCCACCCACCCACGTTATTCTTACCTTTTATTTGGTCCCACCCCCCATCTATTGCTGCCTCCTGAGTCCCAGCTGATGACTAGAGGGAAAAAAACTGTTTAAACTCTTGCCGAGGGGCTTCAAAGGGCCGTCCTACAGCTGATCAGTGTTAAAAGCAAACAAATGAGTTGGGTCGTAAGTGCGAGGACTGGTCGTAAGTGTGAGGGCCTTCCAGAAATGACTCTGACCAGCTAGCCACGCCCACCTAGTCACATGACCTCCAAGCCACACCCACAAAATAAGCCACGCCCACAGAGCCAGTAGTAAAAAAATTTAGAACCCACCCCTGTTCCAGAGGCTTTTCTTGAGTTCCCCTGGGCTCAGAGGCCCTATGGAGGCTGGAAACGGGCCCGTTTCCGGACTTCTGGAATTTCCAGGAGGCCCGTTTTTCGCCCTCCCAGAGCCTCCGCGTGGGCCCTGCACTTACCTGGCATCCAAAACGGGCCATGTGGAGACTCCTGGGAGGGGCGATGCCGGGTGGGAGGGAGTGGCCAGCCAGTCCTTGCAACTACCGGTTCGACGAACCAGATGTAAAATTAGCATCCGCTTTGCCCGAACCGGTCTGAACCAGCTGAATCCCACTCCTGCTGCAACCCCATTTGCAAAAATAAAAAAAACGGCCCTCCCACCACAATTCCTGCCCCTGACTTCCACTTGAGGGTTTCGGTTAGTTGGGTACATTACACCACCCCATAAATTACATCCCTGTTAAAAATGGCCGTTTTTAGTAAACGGAGTAACAGCGTTACGATCTTCTAGTCCAACTTCTCTTCAGGCAGGAAACCCTATACCAGCGGTGTCAAACTCAATTTCATGGAGGGCCGAATCAGGGCTGTGGTTGACCTCGGAGGGTGGGGGGGGTGTGGGAGCCGTGGCCGACTGGGTGGGTGTGGCCGACTGGGTGGGCGTGGCCAGCTTGACGTCACTCCCCAAACCGCTGCCATGTTTCCTCTTCTCATTGGGTAGACTGGGCCGAAGCTACGCTGGCCCGAACTTTCCTCTTCACATTGGGTAGACCAGGATGGACCTGCTGCGGGCCAAATCTGACCACATCACGGTCCAGATCTGGCCCGCAGGCCTTGAGTTTCACACCCATGCCCTTATACCGTTTTTAGACAAATGGATGTCTGAACCGGTAAATACTACCTGTGATTGGCCCTGCCCCCACCTACCCGCTCGCCGCTCACCCCGCCCCGCCCCGCCCAGTCACGCCTCACTGTGGGTGGGTCCTTGCTTGCGCACGCGCACAGTCTCTGCTCTACGTTGCCTGCCTGAGCTGCCTTCCCACGGAGCACCCACAACGTCTGGTGGCAAGCTGTTCCACGGATGAATTGTTCTCACTCTCAGGAAATTTCTCCTTCGTTCTAGGTCCGTGATGGTGAACCTATGGCATGCGTGCCATAGGTGGCATGCACAGCCATATCTGTGGGCACACCAGCCATTGCCCTAACTCAGCTCCGGCGCACACGCTTGCGCTGGCCAGCTGATTTTCGGCTCGGCCCTGCCCAGGCTGCCCCTCCCCTCCCAGGAGTCATCCGTTGTGGATGCCAGGTAAGTACAGGGCTCACGTGGAGACTCTGAAGGGCATTTTCGGCCCTCCGGGGGGTGGGGGGAGGCTGTTTTTGCCCTCCCCAGGCTCCAAGGAAGCCCCTGGAGCCTGGGGAGGGCAAAAAACAGGCCTACCACGCCCACCAGTAACCTTTTGGCCGTCACGGGCCAAAAGCAGGGGGAGTGTGGGGGGGGTTGCACGCACATGTGCAGGGGGGCACGGGGGGCATTGAATTATGGGTGAGGGCACGCGCGTGCGCGACCCCCCCTGTGCTCCCCCCGCTTTTGGCACACGACGGCAAAAAGGTTAGCCATCCCTGTTCTAGGTTGAATAAATCCCTCCTGGATGAGTTTCCATCTTTTTGCTCCTTGTCCTCCCTTCCCGATGCCACCGTCTCCTCTAGAGGAGACCTCCTGGCTCTGCCACGCCCACACACGGTGCAAGGAGAAACCCAGGGAGCTAGTCCTCGGGTTACAACCGTTCATTTAATGACCACTTGAAATTTCAACGGCCCTGGAAAAAAAGGACCCTTTTTCCACACTTTGATCATAGGGAATGCCACAAAGGTTGCAAGCGTGAAAAAAACAGTCATAAGTTGCTTTATTCAGGGCCTTGTAACTTCGAACAGTCACTAATTGAACTGTCATAAGGGGGGGGGACTAACTGCATTGTTATTGGAGAATGATCTATACTGTGTCTCAGTGAGAGCTGAAGCTCCTCAGGGGCCCTTACCTACAACCTTGAGGGCCAGTCGATGAGAAAGTTCAGCGGTTCAAATCCCTAGTACAGGTCTCCTGTGTGAGCAGGGGGCTGGACTAGGTGACCCCCAAGGTACCTTCCAACTCTGTTACTGTTAAAGGTGGAGACCTGAAGCTCCTCGGGGGTCGTTACCTAGAACCTTGAGGTCCAGGAGAAGACCAGAAGCTCCTCAGGGGTCCTTCCCTAGAACCCTGAGGGCCTCAGGTGTCCTTACCTAGAACCCTGAGGGCCTCAGGTGTCCTTACCTAGAACCTTGAGGTCCAAGAGAAGACCAGAAGCTCCTCAGGGGTCCTTACCTAGAACCCTGAGGGCCTCAGGTGTCCTTACCTAGAACCTTGAAGGCCAGGTGGAGACCTGAACATCCTCAGGGGTCCTTACCTAGAACCCTGAGGGCCTCAGGTGTCCTTACCTAGAACCTTGAGGGCCAGGTGGAGCCCTGAACCTCCTCAGGGGTCCTTACCTAGAACCTTGAGGGCCTTGGGGTCTTTACCTAGAACCCTGAGGGCCTCAGGTGTCCTTACCTAGAACCTTGAGGGCCAGGTGGAGCCCTGAACCTCCTCAGGGGTCCTTACCTAGAACCTTGAGGGCCTTGGGGTCTTTACCTAGAACCCTGAGGGCCTCAGGGGTCCTTACCTAGAACCTTGAGGGCCAGGTGGGACTTGAAGTTGCCCTGGGGGAAGGTGATGAGGTGGCATTCGTAGGCGCCCTCATCAGCCTGCACCGCGTTCTTCAGCAGGATGGAGCTGTTGACCAGGGACCCCTGCGCCTGCCGCAGCACCCGGCCAGCGTAGGCATCCTGGATGTGGACCCCGTGCTGCGAATTCAGGACCGCCAGCTCCGTGCTCTTCCCGCCGTCTCCTCGCTTCAACCAGGTGACCTGCAGCACCGTCTCGCCCTGCGTGGCCTGGTAGCCACAGGGCAGGACCACGTCTTTGCCAAACACCGCCGTCACGCTGCTCGGGGTCTCCAACACTCGGGCCAGCAGACCTGGGGAGACGGGAGAAAGGAGGAAGAGTGTGAACTATCGAATTCAATCCCGTGAGAAAAAGAGAAGGCGTGATTTTGGAAATCTGCAATGCCCTTCTCCTTGTGATTAAAAGGCCTGGAGACTAAAACATACGAAGAACGGTTGAAGGATTTGGGTTTGGCTACTCTAGAGAAAAGAAGAATTAGGGGTGACATAATATCAGCATTCCAGTATTTGAGGGGCTTCCACAAAGAAGAGGAGGAGGTCAAATTATTCTCCAAAGCACCTGAAACCGGTTCGCACCGGTTCGCAAGAACCGGTAGTAAAAATTTGTAGTAGTTCGGAGAACCGGTAATAACATTGGCTGGCCACGCCCCCGAACCGGTCCCTGGCCCGGTCGCCGCTCACTTACCCCACCCAACTCATCAGAGGCTTTTTTTCCCCTTTACTTTTAAAAGCATTTTTTTCTACAACCTCTTCGGCCGAAAAAATGCTTTTAAAAGTATTTTTAAAAAGCCTCTGATGATCGCGCAGCTCAGCTGGGATCGTCAGAGGCTTTTAAAAGCATTTTTTCTACAATCTCTTCAGCCGAAAAAATGCTTTTAAAAGTTTTTTAAAAAAGCCTCTGATGATCGCGCAGCTCAGCTGGGATCGTCAGAGGCTTTTAAAAGCATTTTTTCTACAACCTCTTCAGCCGAAAAAATGCTTTTAAAAGTTTTAAAAAGCCTCTGATGATCGCGCAGCTCAGCTGGGATCGTCAGAGGCTTTTAAAGCATTTTTTTCTACAACTTCTTCGGCCGAAAAAAATGCTTTTAAAGTTTTTTAAAAAGCCTCTGATGATCGCGCAGCTCAGCTGGGATCGTCAGAGGCTTTTCAAAGCATTTTTTTCTACAACCTCTTCAGCCGAAGAGATTGTAGGAAAAAAAAAATGCCTTTAAAAGCCTCTGACGATCCCAGCTGAGTTGCCTGATCATCAGAGGCTTCTGAAAGCATTTTTTTCTGCAACCTCTTAAGGTTGTGAAAAAAAAAATGCTTTTAAAAGTAAAAAAAAAAAAAGTTGGCCACGCCCACCCAGTCACATTACCCCCACCAAGCCACGCCCACAAAATAAACCACACCCACAGAACCGGTAGTAAAAAAATTTAGAACCCACCCCTGAGCTGAAGGCAGGACAAGAAGCAACGGATGGAAACTCATCAAGGAGAGAAGCAACCTGGAATTAAGGAGAAACTTCCTAACAATGAGAACAATTAATCAGTGGAACTGCTTGCCACCAGAAATCATGGATGCTCCATCACTGGAGGTGTTTAAGAAGAGACTCGAGAGTCACTTATCTAAAATGGTATAGATTGAACCTAGACCTACCGGGCCCTTCAGTAACCTTTTTGCCGTCGCCAAAAATAGGGGGAGTGGGGTCACACATGCACGTGCTACACCCATACTTCAATCCTCTCCCCCCCCCCCCCCCCCATGCGTGCATGATAACCCCCCCCCATATTCCCCCTGCTTTTGGCACGCAACGGCAAAAAGTTTTCACCCTCCCCAGGCTCCAGAGGCTTTCTTGGCGCCTGGGGAGGGTGAAAACGGCCTTCCCCATGCCCCGCGGAGGCCCTCCAGAGACCAGAAATAGCTCATTTCCCAACTTCTGGTGGGCCCGGAAGGCCCAAAAATCAGCATGCATGTTGGAGCTGAGCTAGGGCAACACTTGCATGCCCACAGATATGGCTCTGTGTATCACCTGTGGCACGCGTGCTATAGGTTCGCCATCACGGGTAATAGGTTCTCCTGCTTAAGCAGTGGGCTGGACTAGAAGACCTCCAAGGTCCTTTCTTGCTCTACTCTGCTCTATTCTTTTACAGAATAACATTCTATTCTATTCTATTCCATTCCCTTCCCTTCCCTTCCCTTCCATTCTATTCTCATACTCTACTCTACTCTACACTACATTCTATTCTATTCTATTCTATTCTATTCTATTCTATTCTATTCTATTCTATTCTATTCTATTCTATTCTATTCTATTCTCATACTCTACATTCTATCCAGTCCAGTCCTATTCCTATTCCTATTCCTATTCCTCTTCTCTTCTCTTCTCTTCTCTTCTCTTCTCTTTTCTTCCCTTCCTTCTTCCCTTCCTTCCATTCTATTCTATTCTCTACTCTACTACTCTACACTACATTCTATTCTATTCTATTCTATTCTATTCTATTCTCATACTCTACTCTACATTCTATTCCAGTCCATTCCAGTCTCCAGTCCAGTCCAGTCCAGTCCATCCAGTCCTATTCTATTCTATTCCTATTCTATTCTATTCTATTCTATTCTATTCTATTCTATTCCTATTCTATTCTATTCTCTATCCTATTCTTCTATTCTCATACTCTACTCTACATCTATTCCCCATTCCATTCCATTCCATTCCATTCCATTCCATTCCATTCCAGTACAGTCCAGTCCAGTCCACAGTCTATTCCTATTCTATTCTATTCTATTCTATTCTATTCTATTCTATTCTATTCTATTCTATTCTATTCTATCTCATACTCTACTCTACATTCTATTCCAGTCCATTGCAGTCCTCTCCAGTCCAGTCCTAACTGTTCTATTCTATTCTCATACTCTACTCTACATTCTATTCCAGTCCATTCCACTCCAGTCCAGTCCATCCTATTCTATTCTATTCTATTCTATTCTATTCTATTCTATTCTATTCTATTCTATTCTATTCTATTCTATTCTATTCTATTCTATTCTTTCAAGAGCCGTGTTCGGAAAAGTGTAGGGAAAAATGTTTCGGTTCAGGGAACTCAGCTACAAAACTGCATATGTGGAAAAATAGCTTGGGAAAACATGTGTATGTTGGTCCAAATTAGGAATAATCAGGTTTTAATTTGTTTCGTGTGTAGCAAGAAAACTGAAGATTTTAAAAAAACATAAAACTCTTTTAAATTCCATCAACCATCTTGGCAAACTCAGGGAAAGGGGATTGGAGTCCCATGGGCCAGTCCATCCTGACAACCGGTGGATCGATCAATCGATCAATCGATCAATCAATCAATCAATCAATGGGTAGGAAACAGAAGAATGCCCAAGCACATAGAATTATAGAATCATGGGACTGTAAGGGAGTGTGGAGATCCTCTAGTCCAGAGGTCTTCAAACTTGGCAGCTTTAAGACTTGTGGACTTCAACTCCCAGAATTCTCCAGCATAGCTGGAGAATTCTGGGAGTTGAAGTCCACAAGTCTTAAAGCTGCCAAGTTTGAAGACTTCTGCTCTAGTCCAACTCCCTGCCCAAGATCATAGAATCATGGGGCTGGAAGGGACCTTGGAGGTCTTCTAGTCCACCCCCCCCCCCCCCGTGCAAGATCATAGAATCATGGGGCTGGAAGGGACTTTGGAGGTCTTCTAGTCCAACCCCCTGCCCAAGATCATAGAATCATGGGACTGGAAGGGACCTTGGAGGTCTTCTAGTCCAACACCCTGCCCAAGATCATAGAATCATGAGGCTGGAAGGGACCTTGGAGGTCTTCTAGTCCAACCCCCTGCCCAAGATCATAGAATCATGGGGCTGGAAGGAACTTTAGAGGCCTTCTAGTCCAATCCCTGTGGAAGATCATAGAATCATGGGGCTGGAAGGGACCTTGGAGGTCTTCTAGTCCACCCCCTGTGCAAGATCATAGAATCATGGGGCTGGAAGGGACCTTGGAGGTCTTCTAGTCCAATCCCTGTAGAAGATCATAGAATCATGCTGGAAGGGACCTGGAGGTCTTCTAGTCCAATCCCTGTAGAAGATCATAGAATCATGGGGCTGGAAGGGACCTTGGAGGTCCTCTAGTCAACTCCCTTGCCCAAGATCATGGAATCATACAATCAGGGGGTTGGAAGGGACTTTGGAGGTCCTCTAGTCCAACCCCCTGCGCAAGGCAAGAATAACACTGCCTCCTGTATCTCCTTCTCCTTCGAGCCCCACCTTCAACTCAAGAGTTGTTCCTCAAATCGGCTGCAAGTTGCACGCACCCAGGAAAGTGGACCAGCCCGGGAGTCCAGCTCAACCTGCCTGCACGGATGCTGAAGCTTTGCCCTGGCTTGTCCGGATCCTGTCCTTCCCTCCCTCCCCCCCCCACCTCTTAAGCCTGCCATTGTTTCTTCCCCACAACCCCAGCAGACACACACCTTGCAAAATCCCAGCCTCTGCCAGCGGCCTCTGAAAGCAGATTTCTTTCGGGTTTTTTCTTAAACAGAATAGAATTAGAAATAGCAAAAATCGAATAGAAATAGAAATAGAATAGGATTGGAATTAGAATTAAATAGAAGAATATATAGAATAGAATAATATATGGAATTGAATGGAATAGAATAGAATAGAATAGAATAGAATAGAATGGAAATGGAATAGAATAGAATAGAATAGAATAGAATAGAATAGAATAGAATAGAATAGAATAGAATAGAATAGAATAGAATAGAATAGAATAGAATAGAATAAATACCGGTAGAAAATATGAAATGGAATGGAACGGAACGGACAAGAACAGAATAGAACAGAGAATAGAATAGAATAGAATAGAATAGAATAGAATAGAAATAGAATAGAATAGATAGAGGGAATGGAATGGAATGGAATGGAATAGGAAATGGAAGGGAAGGGAAGGAAGAAGGGAAGAGAAGAAAGAGAAGAGAAGAGAAAGAAAGAAAGAGAAAGAATAGAAGAAAGAAAAGAGAAGAGAAGAAGAAAAGGAATAAGGGAAGGGAAAGGGAAGGGGAAGGGAAGGGAAGAGAAGAGAAGAGAAGAGAAGAGAAGAGAAAGAATAGAAGAGAAGAGAAAGAAGAGAAGAGAATAGAAGAGAAAGAAGAGAAAGAAAAGGAGCTGGAAGGGACCTTGGAGGTCCTCTAGTCCAGCCCCTGCTCAAGCAGGAGGCCCATTTCAGATAAATGGGAAGGCCTGTTCTTCAAAATCCTCAGCTTCTCAGACCTGTTAATATGACGACTGCTTCTCCTGGGGGGGGGTTTATGGTTCT